AAAGGTCAAATTTGATTTTGACAAAGAAATTTAAGATTTGGTTTTAAAACTGGACCTCCCTTGATTCTTAGTTATGATATTTACGTTATAATAGCTCTTATTATGTCAGCAGATACAGTTTTTCCTTTGCACAAAACAGTAAATAGACAGTTATAATGGATTTTAGAGGTTACGGTGATAGTTGCCCATTTTGCACAGTTAATCAAATCTTCACTTGAGTTCTTTCCTGGTTAAAATGATTATTACTTTAATTCTCATAGTTTGTTTTCCTGGTGTTGACTTGTGATGCTATTTCCTGCAACATCGTCCTCAGAATGAATCAACAGTGTCAGTGGAACCATATGCAGCTCGATTGGAATCTGAAAGCAAATGAAGGTTGGGCCCTGGCGAAGGCAGCTATTGTAATTGTCCCTCCGATATATGGAATTTCCGCATTTGCATAACCTTGACTTGTTAATAGTCTCTCACAGTTGAAGGACATGGGCATTACTGCATATACAATAAGTCACCTTCATCTGCATGTAACTGCAGGCTGCTCCTCGCTTAGTTGTAAGAGAAATGTGGAAAACGTGCATGGTGAATGTGAAATGGGCTTCACCTTCTGTTTTTTAACACGTCTTGCTTTGTACACAACTCTTACTAGACACTTCCGTATTTCTATGATGTTTAACGATCAATTTTATGAAAGCAATCGAAAGCAAATGGGGAAATGAGGAGGAAGCACAGATCGGTGAGGAGATAAGAGCTACGAGTCTTTAAGAGATTCATCCTAGTTCCATTAAATCCAGTCTCATTCAGTTCAAATTCATTCACTGAGTTCATTATTCAAAGACAAAATTACACAAAGCCATAACCCGAGAACTGTGCTAAATGTGGGCTGGAGGAGAGAAATCCTACTTCACAGCTTCACCATTTGTCCTGAGATAGAAAACGATTGGTCTGAACTTTTTAAAATCACTCAGAAGTAATTAATTATTATCCCTAATGAACCAAACTCTGTATTCTTTGGAATCTCAGGGCTTTTTTCGACACTGTAAATGACAAAACAACAAGTTCTCTGATTGCTTCATCATTACTATGAGTATTCTCATGCACTGCACGGAAAGAAGTCTGATTATGTCTCAGTGAATGAATCAACAGAGCACCCCTTGAAAGCAGAAGGCTCTTGTAAATGACAGACTCTGGGTTTGATAAGATGCGGCAGCCTCTCATCTGTTACCTCCAGGCATTAAACATTAATCCAGGGGGTCGAGAGCTGTATTCAGATTTGAATTTTAAGTTATTTGTTGTTCTTTATTCAACAACACTGAATTTCACTTTCACTTCAGCCACACACTTGTACTGCATCTTAATAAATCTTACAATAAGTGAGAATAAATTGTGTATGGCCACTCCAGGGAGTTTTGACAGTTTACAGAAACTTGTGACAGTAAATTTTGGTTTCCGCGACGATGCAGGTGGAGGTATAACAGGTGACTGTTACATAAAGTAAAAACATTTACAAACTGCATGAGATAAATGTCACAGACTCGCTCTCACAACCACAAGCTACAGAGATGACTGAGCACAAGCTTCAGGATGTGCGTCATCCGAAACCTAGCAGACATTACTATGTGTGTGCATACCCCCCCTTTCCCCCCTTGCATACATACACTTGTACACAGGTCTGTCATTCTGTAATGACACTAATTTACAAGGAAATTATGACAGTTAAAGTCAAATTTGTGATGTTTTTTGTCCATTGGTGTGAATATAATCTAAACTTTGTACTGACAGACACAGACAGACACAAAAATAACACAGATAACCACAGACAGACACACACACACACACTCACACACACATACTGGCAGAATGGTAGGCATGTGTGCGCGCCGGACACAGAGACTCAGTGGCGCTCGTTTCCCGTTACACACGCACAAGAAATACCTCCACTGTTGTGGCACGTTACGTGAACACGCCTCATTAGAAAGTGCACAGCTGACTGTCTGTGTGTATGCATGTGTCATAGTGTTACATCAGTTCCAGGGCCTTGCTGTGGTGCAGGGACGTTTAAAGATCTTACTGGAAGTGGGATTAGAGCGGCCCTCGTCTCAGGGAGGCAGTGGAGGGCAAACTCACTGTCTCCTCTGGTAGAGAGACATATAAAGTCAAATATTTATCTGCAACCTCACCCTTTAAAACTAGTGTCACATTTCTCTACCTTGTAAAAAACACTTTTTATTATCATCAACATAGCATTATAAAATAAAAAGCCTAATGTTGCTATCATGTGTGTATGTATCTTCACTTCCTTCCACTATCCAGAAATGAAGCTAAAATATCCCAGATACAAACGCTACCATCTTGCACATTTGGAGTCAGAGCCTGTGTCCGAAATCACTCATTAATCACTATATATTGAGTTTCGTGGAGTTTTTTATACTCCATATAGTGCATTTATTGTTTCCCACAATGCATCATGAAAGGCAGTGTACAACTGCACTCAGCAGGAACAGCCCGACCTGTTGTTTAAATGTGAATAGAAGCAGAACATCACAGCACAAAGTGCAACAAACAAGTTTATTTCTTTATTCTCAATCTTCTCATCTAATGGGGACAAGTAAAAAATTAATTTATCTTAACTCCCAAAATGTTTCACAATTACTACCTAACCAAAGAGTTGTAAATGTTTGATGAACACAAAGAGGTGGCCCTGTTTTTTATCTACCGCTGCACCACAGCTCCACAGTAACTTACACCGTCACTTATGAATCAGTAGACATGGCTTTCTCTTTTGATCCTCGTGTGTGTAAATGTCTTTGTGTGCGTGTGTGTACAAGAGATCGAGTGACACCTCAACAAGTGAGGCTCATAAATATTAATGTTGGCCTCATGAATATTCAGCGGACGGACTATGAATATTTAAACTATGATGGAGCATGCGGCTGGGCGACTAGACAGCCACAGACAAGAAACAGACAAATAGACCTCCTCCTTTGCTTCTTAACCTCGGTGAGATGCTGCGGCACCGTCTCTCTTTTATGCCGCATTAATCCTAATTAAGAATACATAATTTTTATGATTCTGTTTTCTCATGAACTCTGGCTCGGTATAAGAGTAATGGTCCGCATGATGTTTGGCAACAGACTGCCAGCGTCTCTGAACCTGGCTTCCTATTTCCAACCCTGTAAACTGTCCTTACACAGTATAACATTACCAGGATCAGTTCTACTGCATGGACTATTTATTAGTTTCTGTACAGATTAAACATGTGAATCACTGACAATGTCATAACTGCATCAATTCATAATGTTCACTTTGTATATTGTTATTTCATTAAGTATAACACACAGTTACACCAAACCCAGCTACAACATGATTTTGTTTGTGGTGAGATCTCTACATGTGATTGTTACCTCTGCACAACTGAGGTTATGTCCCTAACACCCGCTGGCGGCTTCTAACACCTGCTAACATCTACTGGTAGTTGGTGACCTAAATTGTGCAGAAGACCTTCAAACGTACAAAGGATATTCACCATCTAGTCCTATGTTCAAAAAACAAATCTACCATGGAGGTTATGTTTTCATCTGCATTTGTTAGTTATGAGGATTCAGTCAAAGCTGAAGCAGCTCTGTGGGCTGAATGGGGTCTAATCTACTGGAAGAGCTGAGTTCAGGTTTTTTGCTGCTAAAAGAGGTTCAACCGAGGATCGTACAACTGCACCTGGAATTTTTTACTTGGCTAACGGGGTTACGCTTTTGTTTGCAATATGTTTGTTTATCAGCAGGATTACACAAAAAAAATTTCCATGAAATGTTGAACCAAGGAAGGTCCCATTCAATTTTAGGATAAGATAGGAATCTTTTTTCCACTGTCTTTAAAAAGACGAGATAGGGCTTTAGCTTTGAGCCGAGGTGTGCACTCTCTGATGCACCCTTTTCATTGATGGTGTTCAAGACACACAAGGTAATAATGGTTTGTACGTTTTTTTCTATGAACAATTAATGCAGAAAAACAAGTGATTCCAAAGGCTTCATGTATATATTCTTGCCACTGTACGTGTGCAGGTACCTAAGGAAAAAAAACACAGAAAAACAAAAAGTGCACAAAGCCCTGATGTAACTCCCCAGGGAAAGTGGAGGGTGAATTTAGATGCAGTGCGTCAGCAGTCAGAATTACAAAACTATGAGCACAGAGAGGAGTAATATGGGTGCAAACGTGGGTTGGGCTGAGTGCGCGCATTCAGATTGTGCCAGCGCAGAGCTAAAACAGTTAGTAGCCCGGGAGAAGGGGTGAAGGAAGCATCAGTTATGAGGAATCTACCTGACTGGTTTTATTTTCTGATCAATGACAGTGACTCACAGTGGATCGCCTTCTGCTGCACGGAGACTAAGCATCCGAGTTGGGCTTGTGCTCTGCGGACAAGGCTCAAATTTGATGTGCGTAAACTTGGCCACCTACACACGTCTATAGAGTGTAAGAGATGTGTCTTCAAATGTGTGTGAAGGTGAAGGAAGTGCACCTGTCAAGTGATAGACCTCAGCAGTGCAATGGCTGTGTGGGTTTGTGGTCTATAACGGATGCTTGACAGGCTGACGAGCTCTGGCACCAACTCCCTGCTTCCTCCACACGTTCTCCCCTCCTCTGCCTGTCTTCTCATCTCTTCAGTCGGTGGGCGTAAACTCCCTCCTTTTCTTCCTAAACGTCGTCTTTCCATCTTCACTCTCCCTTCCTCCCCCCGCTCCTCCTCAAACCCGTCTATGCACGTTGTTTTTCGCTGATTGTGGAGTTTGACAGGTCTTCAGAGGGAGAGAAACACAGAGGGAGAGGAATCAAACAATCTCCTCAATTAGGCAGCCTACACAAATGTACGTCTGAACTTCATACCATCTTCATCAGTTGTCGCAGTTTTCATCTCGCCGCCGCAGACACCTTTGTTCCAGGGTTGAAAACACACTGTTTACAACAAAGGCAGAGAAAAACCATTTAGCTTTGAAGAACAGAACGCTGCAACAAGCTTTTAAGGTTTATTTGCATCGAGAGGAAGGAGTCTGCTTTTTCCTGCCTTAATTGACCCATCAGTTTGCCCAAAAATCTACAAAGGCTACGCAGCTGCCAGTAATGTGAGGGCATCCACAATGCAAATGGATGTGTGCCTGACTTCCCTCATGAGATTCAATATAATCTCACATGTAAGAAGCTGCATTTCAATGCAGCTAATAGGGAAAGAGGAGTCGAGGAAGCAGTTTATAATGTAATAATTACTGATGTTCTGATACTAATACCAGCATCAGAAATGCTTCTGATGAAGCCGGGAATGCCGGGTCTGGCATTTGCGAGTGCGCGAATCAATGTACTGATCCGATACCACGTTTTTCAATTAGTTTCACAAATGCCTCAGGAAAATATGCTGCATCCTCTGGCCTAAACAAATCTCAAATCTCGAAGATCTGTACAGAAAGACGAAGAGCCAGAGTGTGGAGCCAGAGATCAGACGCAGGGATGTTCTCAGAATGGACCAGAACCACAAACCAAAGAAGATGAACATCCCCTAAAAACACGAACAGGGCCGGCCACAAAACCAAAGCTGTGAGGGCTGAGCTGCAATGGATGGGTCTGACTTGGAGCCCAGGGCAGGACAAGATGGAGGCAGATTGTTGATGCCTTGTGCCCCTCAAAGGATGAAGAGGACCAAGTCTAAGTGAGTACGTAAGTTCCACCCAGATAAAACTACAATCCCGTCTTTGCCAGCAGGGAAGTAGTGATTTCTGGTAGCGTAGCTTTAGCCAGAGAGAACCAGTGAGGTCAAAAAGTCACATCTAAGTTATTCCTAGTTTACTGTTAGCTCTATAGCTCTGAGCAAAGCCACACATCATGGAATATATTTTGAAAATTGTTCCTTGTCCACGCACATTGTGAAAAAGCTGAAAAACAAGAATTCTTGACAAATTGTCATAATTATTGTTAATAGTGTTAGGAAGTGACTTTTTAAAAGACAGCTGGCTGCACAGGAGCACTTCAGGGGCCAGTAAGATTTCAGCTGGGGCCAGTGCCACCCTGTCTCCACCCCTGGTTATGCCCCTGAGTCCAGGGATCAGATTCAGTGTCAGGTAAAGGGGAGGAATAACAAAACAAACAAAAAGGAGGAATTAAAAAAAGGTCGGTATGTTTAAAACCAGGACACAATGTACAACACACACACACACTTTGGTCTTATGTCACAGAGAAATGATGACTAGAACACACACACACACACACACACACGAGAGACAAAGAGGCTAAGAGTCCATGCAGGACCTTCGGATGGTCAACAATAAGATGAGTCAATAGTGTAGTAATACTGTGGTGCACTGCAGCATACCTGGAGGGGCTCAGACCTGTTGATGCAATCAGTGGTGGATGTCTCCAGTTTTCTCTTTTCCTCCCATCTGTCTCCTCTCCACCAGGCTGTCAACCTCTCTCTCTCCCACTCTCTCTTCCTCGCTCTCTCTCTCTCAGCAGCCCTCACCTCCCTCCATCTTTCCTCCCACAACTCCTCATTTCCTCTCCTCGCTTGTTACGTACATCACTGGGAAAATGCCGGCGCTGCAAAAAGTCAGGTCTTGGAGACAACGATGAAGAAAAAAAAAAGAATGATCCTTATTTTCACAAGTCGTTCTCACCATCTCATTATTGCTATTTCAGTCAAGCTTTCTCTCTCACTTCTGTTTTGTGGATTGTGTCTTTGCTGATGTGATGCTGCCACACTGTGTAACACACTGCATGAACACAGAGATACAGTTTCACTCCCTCATTTTCACCATTAACCACTAAAAAGGATTTTTACACTATGATGTTCACTTGTACACTTTTAGTTCAGACAATTAAAACAAGCTGGTTGACACTTGAGAGATATTCTTTCGACGGCAGTGACAAACTTTCTTTCTGGTTCCATTTTTTTTCCTCACCCATCCTCTTTCTGTCCCCACACATACATCCTCCTCCTCCTCCTCCTCCTCCCGTTTCTCCCATCCTCAATCTTCTCCCTCCTTTCATCCGAACCTTATTTTTTTCCCCTCCTTCCTTCCTTCTAATTGCTTTAATCATTTTATCCACTTATCACTCCCTCTTTCTCCACATCCCGGCTCTCATCCTGTATGACTGACCTGGAAGCCCCTGAGGCTGTTCGTCAGCCGTGGGCATCATGACCATAAGCTGAGTCGCAGGGCTATTTATATTTGTTCCTAATGAGGTGAGATTTCTCTCCGCCATAGCAACGGTCTCTATGGATACCCTGCACTTGGATACCAGATCCCATCCTGTTTTATATGTCTTATTATGGGCTGTGCCTTTCCCCCCTCGTGCATTGTAGCCTAATTAATTCTGAATTATCACCCTTTGCTGTGTGAACGACGCAGAAATGCCGTGAAATCACCAACCAGGCTGAAGTGATCAGAGCAAGTTTACATCAAAAACACAGATCAGAGTTCCACTCATCAATTTACAGCATCATTAGGATCAATATTAAAACACTAACACATGCAACTTGATGCAGTGTTTTGAAATTGTGAACTTCTGCCTCAAGAAGAGTGGAGTTAAGACTTCTACAGGTGCTCTCATTATTTGATCACACACACACACACACACACACACACACACACACACACAGGTAGCTAGGAGTACCTGTCTTCTGAGAGGCCGATGGGTGCGCTACTGATCAGGTCGGAGACGAGTGAGGAACCTGGAGGAACCGGATGCAGCACGAGACCCAGGCAGCCGAGTTCAGATCATTAGAGGATCTCTGTTGCTGGGGTCACACAGGTGTCGAGACCCACCATCTCATTTCCTGCCATAAAGCAAGACAAGCAATCAATAAAGCTGCAGAGGAACTTGTGGAGAAAGCAACACACACACAAACACACACACACGGATGGTCAGTGTGCCTTTGTATTTACTGTAAGACTTGGAAATGTTCCCTGCATTCGTCTGATGACAAGACACCAAGATAGCTGCATGCACATGTACACACACACACATACACACACACTGACAGGTGCTGCATTGTTATGTTATGTCCAACTCTGGCAGCTTGTTTTCCTCAGACCTCTCACCCTGTGTGATGACTCACGGACGGGGAGATGAAAAGAGAGGCAGGGACAGGGGTGTGGGCGGGGGTGCACTGACAGGAGGAAGTGGAGGGTCCAGGATGGCTTCAGCGTAAGAAGGTTAAGTAAATCATATCATTAATGCTATGTTAAGAGATTGCTTTGACCTCCGCTTGGCTGTCTGCATATGCAAGTGTGTGTATGTGTTTGGCCTTTGTCCTACTGTAGCAGGTGGCAGCAATGACGTCCGTCTTCTTCCCAGCAAAGAGACACACACACACACACACACACACACACACACAAACACACACAAACACACACAAACACACACTATCACTCTGTGCTCTCTGGTGTCAGTCCCCTCGGATTCTATCGTGCTTGAAATTCACCCATCATATCGGGTGGCCTCACTGTGCTGCTTTCCTGACACGGGGGTGTGCATGCATGCAAAAACACCCACACACATGCACACTCGCACACACACACACACACAGGCAGGACTGCTGCACATTGGATTGCCTTGATTACACAAGTGGAGCAGCACAACCTGACAGAGAAACAGACACCAAAAAGGAAACACGAAAAGAATATAAAAGGCTTATTTGCCCATGTTGTATAAGCATGTTTCATCTTCCCACTCTCGCCTACCCACACCCACTCAGGTTAGATCCAATAGCTGGTGCCAGGCCTCTCTATCCTGCAACACAAACATCTCGGTGTGAAGGAATATTGCAGTCGAGTTCTTTTTCATAATCTCTTCCCTCAACACCCACACATGCACATTGTGAGGGGGTGAGAGGGAGACAGGGGTAAAAAGGAGCGCTGGTAAAAGAAAATGAAAAGAGAAGAGGTGAGGGGAGGAGGAGAGGAAGGAAGGAAGAGAGAGAGAGAGAGAGAGAGAGAGAGAGAGAGAGAGAGAGAAGTGCTCATGAGAGCCAGGAGGTAGTTGTTATAGTAACTGTGTCTCTATACCTGTCAATCAGAGCTATTTCAGGCATCTTGCTTCTATGGAAAAAAAAAAAGAAAAGAAAAGAAAATACCAGGACCACAGAGCTGCAGCGCTGAGGCAGAATTATCAGCCAACGCACATTCACTGATACTGGCAACTTGTAAACTGATAGACTGATCAAATTAACACCGTGAACAAGATTTCAGCACTGCATTATTTTTACCTTCTTTTTTTTTAAAGCTTCTCACATCTCAGCTTCACACCACACTTCACGGAAGTGATGCACCTGCTTGACGAGGCTTCACAGCCCAGTCCCAGGAACTCAAGTGAATTTAAATGTGGTTTCACTCAGTAAAATTATACTTAAACCATTACTTTCAGCTTATTACAACCATTTACTGTTACTTTCAATTTAACAACTGAAACAATTAATTTATTTTCAGCAACCGATAACATATTTTTATTTTGCCATGTCAACCATTATCCTTAATTTTACAGGGTTTCTACAAGTACCTATGTCAAGTAGGACAGATATGAAGGAGTACCAGAGTTGCAGAATAAGCCTCCTTAATTATATGATATAAATTGAATATATATTAACATAATATAAATATTTCATTGAAAATAATGTGAAGTAGCCTAGTAGTGAATAACCAAACACCACACTGTTTCACAAACCAGAGACAGCAGGTATCTGCATGTTTATCAGTTACCATGTCAGCCTTATTGTTTTATTACAGTATTATTATTATGAGCTCATAACAATACAAACTATGCATTGGCCAAAACTCACTCTACAGAACGATGGAAGTAGCAATGAACCGAACAAAATTCAGATTATCAAATTGTAGAATTTCATTTACTTGTTAAGACCTTGTGGAAATCCAGTTTTAGCCATTTAGACTTCCTAGCTAACTATTTTTAACCCTTCTCAATTGCAAAACCTGATTTTAGTTGAACCACTTCTCAGTCTTTCAAGCCAGCCCCCGACAAATTAGAGAACAGGCTGCAGGGATTAGAAATATATTAGAAAAACACTATGTTCCTCTATATTTATCCAGCATCGCAGCCAAAGAAAACCATGGATTCAGCTTTACTGCGGACAAACACATGGTGAGGAGGAGGGCGAAGCGACGAGGGAAGAGAGTGGGGGAGTAAGAATAGTGTGAACACCAATATGGCTGAGTGCTGAGTTTGGGAGCCATTAGGCAGAAGGTAATTAATACCTGTCACTGCAGCGCTCTGTTCGCTGCCTTTATTCTGTTTCAGACCAATTAAAATATGACACTCCTCCAGTGGAGAATGTCTTGTTAAAATTAAGCGGCTGAGACACAAAGACACCTTTGATAAACACATCCACAACTACAATTGGCTTTGGCAGCAGCGGCATGCTGTATAGATAGAGGGAGGGGGGGGGGGGGGGGACATGGCAGTGTGTGTATGTGTAGTGGATGTTAGATCTGATTAAAAAGTGTGTATCCTTCTTTGTCAGTTTCACTCTCAAACACACACTGAGGTGATGCTGTACGACGTGAATGAACCAGGAGATACTGACCAGTGAAAACAACTCACTGACAGCGATTTGCAAGCTTTGATGGCAAGGACAGATGAGTGGTAAGCAAAAAAAACTAAACAGAAGAGCCAGGGGAGAGGGGAAAAATGGAGGAGGGAGCAGATGAGCATATAAAGAGACAGGTGGTATACAGGAGAAAAAAGCTGAGCAACAAAGAAAAATATGATGAAGAGAGTCTGATAGGAGGAAAAACAAAAAAAGAGGGAGCTCGCTGTGGGAAAATGAAGTGGAATATGGTGGGTTTTTTAAAAAGAGTTGAGCAGATAGGAACTCGGGAAGACAGATTAGACGGAGAGAAGAGAGGAAAATGGAAAGAGGTGGAGTGATGGATGCAGGCAGGGGACCAGCAGCTCTCTGCCAACATCTCCATGCATCCTTCCAGACATCACACTGCGCTGCCATCTGCCTTCCTGCCACACACACACAAACTCACACTCACACACAGAGAAACACACACACAGGGAGGAGATATGTGAAATCATTAGCGTCTCCTGACACTGAATAAATATCTTGGGATGAAATTTGTCTGTGGAGAAATCGCCTGCGGGGAAATATGATTGGATGAGATCACGACCTCACTGGAACGTAATTTGCATGTCATCTAAATGGGATCTGCCCCGAATGTTCAGGAGGGTCAAAAAGCATCCGATTAGTTGGATGGGACGACTTCTTCCCTGATTGGCTGAAAAGAGCAACAATGGCACGTGAAGCAGAAGTAGTGAGTGCTGCTCAGGCTGCGGTTCGACTGGGAGCTGCAGGACTGCCCTCTCCTGGCTGCTTTACAAACCTCCAGTAACACACACATTTCAAAGACCGACAAAGTCTGGCTCGCAGTTGTTGTTTTTAATCACATTAGAGCTGAGGAATAAAAATAAACACAAAGAGCATGAGGGTGCAGTGCACAGTGTCTCAGTTAACCACATACAGAGTCTTATTTATACATATATTTATATAATAGAGCCATTTCTCCCACTTGTACAGTCTGATTGTAACACGGAAAATATATACCCACGTTCCCTTGGTGAGACGGAAAAAGAGAAAAAGAGTGAACGAGAGCAGAATGCTCAACAGTCTGATTAACATTACAAAACCTGCAGGCCATTTGTTTTTAGAGTTTTTTTTACATCAGCTCGGTATCGGTATTTATTACAAAAATAGGATTATAGTTGATACAGAAGCACTGAGTGGGTGGGGGGGGGAGAGGATGAGAGGCATCCACCCACCCGACATACACTCTCAAAACAGGAGACAGAGAGCCATCCTGGGATTCTACGTGCCCCCATAAGTGTTGTACAGCAGTCCAGCCTGGACAAAGAGTCGGTTATTGATGCAGAAAAGGCTAGGCTTAAATTAAACAAGTAACAAAACTCTAAGAATATGAGTACATCAAACATGAGGGGGTTAGTGCATCGATGACAGTTGAGATAGTTGAGCAAAAGTGCTTTTAGAGCCCAGAAGTCAGGATGTAGGTTAAAAAAGGGACAGATGGAAAAGAAAACCTTGAGAAGAGCAACGTAATCAAAAGTTTCAGAAGAAGTGCAAAGCAGCTCTGAAGTCACCGTTCACTCACAGCTGCTGATAGTGAGAAACAAAGGATCGGAGAAAAGGGAGTAGATGGAGATAAAGTGTTATTGCTGGGGGGAAGTTTTTATTTGGTGTTAACGTGTGTGAAGAAGAATGAGGGGATGAAGAGGAGTGTTATTGCTGAGGGTAGTAGGGCTGTTGCTGCTGTGGCGGTTGCTGGGGGTAGCCAGGGTAGGGTTGTCCAGCAGGAGGGGCTCCAGGGTATCCTCCTTGTCCTGGAGTGGCCTGGTAGGGCATGTAGGGCATGTTGGGCATGTTGGGCATGTTGGGCATGTTGTACTGACCATAACCGTAGGGGTTGTATCCCATCGGCACCTGGAAGTACCTGCATGGACACCACGACAAAGAAGACAAATGTGTGACGTGACGTTCAAATCTCAACTATCTTCTTACAAGTCATTTTCAAGACAAAACATATATTCAACAAATTCCAGGGCAGAGATATTGCTCATCAGATTCCCAAATAAAAAACTTGAACCCAGTCTAAATCAAGAGGTCGCTCCTAAAAGAGGGAACACCTGTCGCATGGATGTGGTTCGAGTATGAGAAGTCTCAAACTATATTTTGCAGTCGCACAAGGGATTCAGACTCAACCAACCTCTTTTAGCAGCTGTGCAACTTTCATGTCAGACAGAATGGAGAGTCTACGGACAAGAGCAATCAAAGTGCTCAAACCAGATCTCTATCAGAATATGTGATCTTGGTCGTATTGCACAGCCCCACTCAGCACTGTCCAAAAATGAAAAAGCTGCTAACAGAAAATCTCAGAGAAGGAGCAATAAGCCTCTGAGCTCATCGACTGCAGGTGTTTTCATGAAAGAATCCAAGTCTAGAAAAACTAGCTATCTAGCTAAAAACAATCCCACTGATCAACATCAAGCATCTTCTCAAACCAGGATGCCATGGTGAAAAACTCACCCTGGGTAACCCTGGTAAGTGGGGTAAGGTGGTCCCTGGGCCGTGGAGGGAGGGGCCACAGGTGGGTTGTTGCCGGGAAGGCCAGTGGCTGGTGTGTTGGTGGGAGCGGCGGAGGCAGCCTGAGGGTTGACGCTGGGAGGTGGAGGCCTGGCTGGGGGCTGGGGCTTCGCTGGGGGCTGCTGGGCTGGTTGAGTCTAGAAGACAAAGAAAAAGACAGATACACAACCATCAGACTTTGATCAAAGTTCACTGGTGGTCAGTGCTCGGCTTTGTGAGGTGCTGCTTACAAATACGGTCCTGGGGGCGGGGGTCGGGCCAGCAGCTGGGGTGCTCTGATAGGCAGGAACGTTGAAGGATGGAGCACTGGGCTCTCGGGCGATGCTCTGCTGCAGATCCCTGAAAGCAGGATTGAAACATTACAACAGTTTCCTTCATATTCCTGCATTTTGGCCATCACTGGCCTCAGCTGCAGCTCAAAAGCAACAACAAAACGGACATGTACGTACTTAAGTAGTTCATCCCGCTCGGTCTTGCGAGCGAAAACAATGTCGCTGCATTTGTTCTGGAACTTCAGCAGGATTTCTGTCAAGTCGTTGTAGAACTGAGGAGGAGAAAAAAATTGGGGGACAGAAATAAATCCCCTGGCTTGCAAAACACCTTGACACAGAAATACAAAGTAATATTTAAATTAAAAAAATAAAAGTAGAGCGTTTCTGGCAAGACATGCATTACTGCAGTACAGCCTGCTGAGGTTTGTGTGTGCCGGTGTGTTGTGCTGAGCGAGTACCTTGGTGCCTTCGCGCAGGTTGCTGCTGATCTCAACGTAGCTGTCGTGGGCTGAAGCCAGCTTCTTCAGGACCTCCTCCCTCTGGTTGGCCTCGGAGTTGGACTGCTTCAGATTGCTGAACTCCTGGTGGGATGTCTGGAAAAGAAAGATCACAGACTGAGAACATTCACGACTGATATTTCCTGGAAGATTTATGCACAGTGAACAAATCATTTGTCTTCACACAGAAGAGCATGACTCAGAGGGAAGCTTGGTTTCATTCTCTCTTTGGACTTTATCTGCACCTGCTGACTGACTCCTTATGCTGATGCGTCTTTGATCCTTTTACGGAAATTCACTTTTTGCTGCTACATTTCAGAAGAAAGTCAAATTTTACTACTACCACCCTTTGAGCGGGTGAATGGTACAGAGTCACCCCAGTTTGGTAGAATACTGTTGATAGATAAACTTGTCATGAAGAGCGTCTCTTCAGCAACACGCCACCTTGTGTGCGTTTACATACCTGAACTTGTCCCAGCAGCTCTTCCTGCATGCGGAGGGTGGCTTGTACCCTCTGGTTGTAGGTGCCGTACAGCTGGTCGATCTGGGAGAGTGAGAGCTGCTCCTCGTTGACGGCCCCGTCCTGGGCCAGTGCCGTCAAGAAGGTAGCAGACATGTCAAAGGTCACAGCCTTTATCTCACCGTCCAGCGTCTCCCTCTCCGTCTTCATTTCGTCCAGCTGGGTGAGCAGCGAGCGCAGCACGTTCACGACCTGGAGGGAAGACAGACGAGACAGCTTGAATTCTCCACCCCATGGTGCATTGTCCTGCATTGACTCTGACCTCTCACCCTCGTCATAATGTCTGCTGTCTACACCTCAAAACTTTTCCCCCCGCTGTAGCTGAGTGCAATGTGGCTTGAGACACGCACTTCCTCACCCCTTCCCAGTTTTGCTTGCTTCGTTCTTTAAGTTCCCCAGTGAAATACAATGCAAAGTCAGCACACAAAATGAAAAATGGAGCGACTGTGGGGAGGAGGGCCATAAAGTACACAATACACAAAAAAGTACATAGTATACGCAACATTTTTGCGTGTAGCAGGTTTGTGTAGGTTGAGGTGGCAGATGGAAATAAAAAGGTTTACGTGCTACTTTAACCAGTGGCACAAGACATGAAGATGAAAATCAGACAGACCTCGCTGCCCTGCAGGGTTTTGGTTGGGTTGGCAGAGGGGATGGCAGCGTTGAGCTCTTCTACTGGTTTACACAGCAAGGTGATCATGTCACAGTGAGCGCTGTAGCGGTCCTTGACCACCTGATCGGCCTGCACAGCCTTGTCCAAGATGTTGCGGAAGTTAGCGCCCTCTGGGGAAGAGAAGAGGGGGGGTGTTAGAAGTGACCATGGTCAACAGTGCACAGAAACATGTGTGTGTGTTTGTGTTTGTGTGTGTGTGTGTGTGTGTGTGTGTGTGTGTGTGTGTGTGTGTGTGTGTGTGTGTGTACCTGCACGAAGGGGCTTATACAGGTCTCCAGATGGGGTTCTGTTCCAGCGCTGGTTGAACTTGGTTCTCAGCTCATTGTCTGTCGTCTCTTCATCGTCCAGCATCTTCAGAGACTAGTTTAAAAAAAACACCACACTGAGCACATGCAGGAAATATAACAAGGCTCAAATGAGATGATCTGATGACTAAGCCTCAATTACTTTAAAGCTTGGGCCAACGGTCCTGTGTTCATAAATACTAGGTATTGGCTACTACAAATTTAGAAAACTCAACCTAACACTGCTTAGTTCTTCATTCAGTCTACAAACCAAAGATATTCAATAAAAAAACAATACCAGCACATATAGGGCATGTTTTCATTGATAAATAAGTAAAAGACAATAATTAAATTATATAACCTGTTTTGCTCTGGCAATCAATGACTTTTTTCAACCCTGTCTGTTGGTTTGTTTGTTGGTTAGCTTGGCAGCAGAATAATGTAAAACTACAAAATTGACGAAACGTGATGGAAGGATGGGTTATGGGTTGGCCCAAACAAATAATGATGTTTGGGGCGAATGTGAAGAAAGAGACAAATCCAGGAAATGTATTTTCACTTCAAGAGGACTGTTGGGCCTTGGCAGAAGTTTGTGCTCTACTGAGTGACATCCAAGTTGATGAAATGTTTCAGAACTACTACTACTTTAGTGTATTCTTAAAAAAGTTAAATCGTGCCGACAGTTTGCATTTAAAACAAATAGATAATGAATTATTGACACTCTGCCAGCATGAACGTGCTTTCCTACTTTTTATATTAAACTTTCAGTTGCCGCATTTTGTCTTTACACGACAGAACTATCTACATTTTAGGGGAAATTAGGACAGTTTTGGTTTGGACTTTTCAACTCTGCCAACAAACTTGGAAGCAAATTGTGTTTTATGCTTTTCCTCCCGTCTGTTTATTTGTTTGTCAGTAAGCTATCTAAAAAACCATGTTGGCTGAAGCTCGTGGACAGACAGTCCTTGGCCCGAAGATCAGTGAATTAGATTTCAGTGATGATCCTGATCTGGGATTTCTGCCATTAGAAACAATTATGAGTTTTTAGTGTTCATGTGTTCTGGTGTGTGGTGGTAGGAAAGTCCAACATTGAGGATGTCCAAGTCAGCAGCATTGGATTCATATGTTATGTTTTCAGGAAAGCAAAGCCATGTGACAAACAAGCTGTTTAAGAGGCTGCTCTTGTGAACATGGTTTCTTTACTTTTTAAAATGGATTTAGGGTAACTATTAGCAGCACAGCGAGATGTCCAGTTACTGACAGACAGTAGAGTTAGAGATGCATAATTCAGAGTGCTTCTATTCGTCTCTAACACCAACCTCGTCCAGGATCTCTCTGTTGCGAGTCAGGAGCTCTGGCAGGTCTTTGATGAGCTGCTCGATGCTCTGTAGTCCTCCCTGCTGCACGATGGATCTGGCCTTCTCAGCAATGGATTGTGGGATAGAGTCTCCTGACAGGTCCTCCAGAGCAGCTGGCAGGTTCAGGGACGCCAACACCCTGTTGGACAGGTACCCATCGCCTGTTATTTATTGTGGTCTCAAACATTTTTTGAGTCTTGTCCTATTATACTTAATTTCACAGTAACACTTTTAACATTAAAATTAAAAAACCAAGCCATGTAACCATTCTAATTTCAAAAGACAACTATTATAATTGAATACTATGATATTGTGGCCATTTTTAAATGGAATGAAATACTGCACATTGTTAAGCACTCATTAAAATCTCCAAGTTGCATGACACAAATGCTTGACTGTTATTGAGGGTACTACAATAAAACCACAAAGTACTTGTACTGACATTTTAATGCACCATTATGTTATGAATTTTTAATAAATCCACCCATGCATGGAGACACAAGCACTCATGGACATGCTCATTGAAAGACAATTACACTCACATACTTTACATTAGTTATGCGTGGGTCAGGTTTTTTTTTTTTTTTTTT